TGAATTCCGCGGCGAGTGTCCATCAAGAGAACACGCTGCAGCGGCGCTCCAAAAAATGCAAAGACGGTCGCTAGATGGTACGGACGAGCAAGAAATGGGTGCTGGCGACGGCGGTGGTGGCGCCGAAGATCCGTGCAGGGCAATTGAAACACGTGACGATGGGCATAATGCAGACGGCGATAACGGCCAGGGTTGAGCAGAGAACGAACTGAACATGCTAAAACTACAGTTAGATATGCTGAAGCTCGAAAATGCAATGCTGAAAAAGAACGAGAAAGAGAGAGAAAAGAGAAATGAAACACACGAGGCCGTGGGCTTAAGCATCAAATTAGGCAACATGTTGATAAATGTTGTTAAAGACATATTGCCAGCGTTTGATGGCAAGAGCCCTGTAAACATTTGGGTTGCGCAACTGAAGTCTGTGGCCGCTGTTTATGAACTTGACGACAACATGTTGCGAATGCTGCTAATGGCGAAGCTGAGAAATGACGCTCAGATGTGGGGACGCCTTGCTCCACCAGCGCATTTAGAATGCATCCCCAGTCTGCCGAGTTAAATGCGTTCTTTACATCCAGGGTCACCACCAAGCAATATTCCTTGGATCCGCCTTTCCATCTGCTGCCAGAAATCGCATTAGACGCGATGTCCACTACTTTACCGATAGCATCTATCGTGGACCTCGACTTCCTGAACCCAAATTGGTTGGGTGAAAGACCGATAACTGCTTCAATCCTAACGCATAATAGTCTCTCCAGGACCTTTCCGATTGAGTCTAGGAGACAGATCGGCCTGTAAGATGAGGGATCTTCAAGTGGTTTACCTGGTTTTGGAAGCAGGACCAGGTTCTGTATCTTCCAGCAGTCTGGGAATATGCCTTCCTTAATGCACTTCCCAAAGAGAGAAGCGAACGCCTCAGCGTGCATACACAAAGCCAATTTAAGGGCGCGGTTAGGTATTGCGTTCGTGCCCGGCGCTTTGTTTGTCTTAAGACTGCGAGCAGCTAGGAGCACTTCCTCTGTGCTGACATCGTCAAAGGCCGCATCTGTAGTGGGGATCCTCGCAGGCGTCTCCGGTCTCGTAGGAAATAGAGTCCCAACAATCCGATAGAGGTTCTCGGCATCCAGAGGGGCATCACGTCCACCAGCATGGATTCGCTTCACGATCAGCTTATATGCCTTCCCCCAGGGGTCCTGCTCGGCGGAGTCACACAGCTCTTTCCCCAAATTTTAGCTTTCTAGCTCTCACCGTTTGGGCTGTGGGCTGTTGACGCGGTTTCCTCTTGTGCCTCAAAAAAGCCCCAATAATTCAGCCTCCAAGAAAATATTTAAAAAACCAGATATGCAACTTTATTTGTATTCTTTTATTGATTTTAGAAACCAAGTTTTAAGTCGATGGGTTGAAAAATGAGGATATTTGGGGTCAAGTATCCTATCATGGTGTAGGTGCCCACTAAGAAGGGATTTTGGAAAACTCGAGCTCCAAAGGGGGAAAACAGGCTCCAAAGGTTATTTGAAAAATCTTCAGTTTTCCACCAATCAACTTTAAATTTGATTTTTAAAATCTATAAAAGAATACAAACAAAACTGCATACTCGCATTTTCGAAATGCGTGTTGGAGCTTGAATTATTGGGGTTTTAATATTTATTCACCTTTTCAAATTAAAAGTTTGTGCTATAAATTTGTTCCGATCGGTTTTAAATTTGGGGACTATAATCTACGTAACTAAATCTACAACTTTGCGTTCAAGGATTTTCAAAATATGCATTTTACAAATGCAGGCAGAACAAACAATACAAAATATCAAACAATTGGGACAACTAAGTATACACACACACACACACACACATACAAGCAGCTGTTCATGTAGTTGCGTGCAAACGATTGAAATAGCCAAAGCAAAATGTGAGACCCTAATGTGTGAATGTACACACATACATATGTACACATCTATGTACATGTCCGCTGCCAGCGGAGAAGGCAAGGAAGCTCACGGAAATTGGCAAAGTGCGAATTGGCTGGGTAATCTGCTGTATCCGTGGGGTGATTCGGCCAACACGTTGTTATAAGTGTCTCGGCTTCGGTCATACGGCAGCAAGGTGTTCCAGTGCAGAGGACCTAAAGGACACCTGTTACAGGTGCGGGGAAAAGGGGCACCTAGCCAGAAACTGCTCAAATAGCCCTAGATGCGCATTATGCGCGAAGAAGAGCATACCATCTACAGACCACGCCACTGGTAGCTTTAAATGCCCGGCATACAAGGAGGCAGTACGACAGCTAAGATGTTAAGGTTTCTGCAGCTAAACCTTAACCGCTGTATTGCAGCACAGGACTTGTTGCTGCAGACCGTTAGGGAGGAGAATATTAGCCTGGCGATACTCAGTGAGCCATATAAAACTTACAGTAACAGCAAATGGGCCGTGGATTTGTCTGGTAAGGCTGCTTTATGGCTTTGCGATCCTAGAACGCTCGCTTACTCAGAAACCAACACGGGACACTGCTTTGTGAGAGCGAAGGTTGCCGGCCTGTGGGTCTACAGCTGCTACTTCCCACCCAGCCTACCTCTGTCGGAGTTCGCCGCTGTGCTAAACGCACTGGTGAACGATGCCAGGGGGCACAGCCGCGTCATAATAGGCGGAGATTTCAACTCATGGGCAGTCGAATGGGGCAGCAGTATCACTAACGCGCGTGGCCGTACACTACTGGAAGCCTTCTCAGGACTGGATCTGACACTACTGAATACTGACTCAAAACAAACATTCAGTAGGGCAGGTATCGGAACCATAATAGACCTGTAATACGCTAGTAGCTCCCTGCATATGCATCAGGGCAAGGAGAGTGGCCCAAAGAGCACGCTGTACACCCTCGTTCTCGTTCAGGCAGGACATGTACCGGGAGTCTAGGCGTTCGCTAAAAAGGGCAATCGCAGCCAGCAAGAGAAACTGCTTCTTAGAGCTGTGTGACTCCGCCGAGCAGGACCCCTGGGGGAAGGCATATAAGCTGATCGTGAAGCGAATCCATGCTGGTGGACGTGATGCCCCTCTGGATGCCGAGAACCTCTATCGGATTGTTGGGACTCTATTTCCTACGAGACCGGAGACGCCTGCGAGGATCCCCACTACAGATGCGGCCTTTGACGATGTCAGCACAGAGGAAGTGCTCCTAGCTGCTCGCAGTCTTAAGACAAACAAAGCGCCGGGCACGAACGCAATACCTAACCGCGCCCTTAAATTGGCTTTGTGTATGCACGCTGAGGCGTTCGCTTCTCTCTTTGGGAAGTGCATTAAGGAAGGCATATTCCCAGACTGCTGGAAGATACAGAACCTGGTCCTGCTTCCAAAACCAGGTAAACCACTTGAAGATCCCTCATCTTACAGGCCGATCTGTCTCCTAGACTCAATCGGAAAGGTCCTGGAGAGACTATTATGCGTTAGGATTGAAGCAGTTATCGGTCTTTCACCCAACCAATTTGGGTTCAGGAAGTCGAGGTCCACGATAGATGCTATCGGTAAAGTAGTGGACATCGCGTCTAATGCGATTTCTGGCAGCAGATGGAAAGGCGGATCCAAGGAATATTGCTTGGTGGTGACCCTGGATGTAAAGAACGCATTTAACTCGGCAGACTGGGGATGCATTCTAAATGCGCTGGTGGAGCAAGGCGTCCCCACATCTGAGCGTCATTTCTCAGCTTCGCCATTAGCAGCATTCGCAACATGTTGTCGTCAAGTTCATAAACAGCGGCCACAGACTTCAGTTGCGCAACCCAAATGTTTACAGGGCTCTTGCCATCAAACGCTGGCAATATGTCTTTAACAACATTTATCAACATGTTGCCTAATTTGATGCTTAAGCCCACGGCCTCGTGTGTTTCATTTCTCTTTTCTCTCTCTTTCTCGTTCTTTTTCAGCATTGCATTTTCGAGCTTCAGCATATCTAACTGTAGTTTTAGCATGTTCAGTTCGTTCTCTGCTCAACCCTGGCCGTTATCGCCGTCTGCATTATGCCCATCGTCACGTGTTTCAATTGCCCTGCACGGATCTTCGGCGCCACCACCGCCGTCGCCAGCACCCATTTCTTGCTCGTCCGTACCATCTAGCGACCGTCTTTGCATTTTTTGGAGCGCCGCTGCAGCGTGTTCTCTTGATGGACACTCGCCGCGGAATTCAGTTGGAATTTCACTTAAACGCACAACCAGCTCCGTTTTGTCGCCGTCCGACGGACACTTCAACAGCATCAACCACATTCTCAACTGTGACAATGAAAACTCATCGGCACATATCTTTTGCATTGTTTTATGTGTTAATTAACAAATATAAAAATTTTTCACTTCAATTTCACTTATACTATTTATATACTTAATACTACACCATATAGATTATCTATTTTCCCACACATTAACCCCATCACCTTAATTGCAAACCCATCAATACATAACTCCAAACTCATATTTAAATATTTACAAGCCACAAACATTTACCACAAAATCTAAGCCCAATCCCCATACATATGTATTCCTACTTTTTTCTTTAACACTGTAAAATGTACATACAAAGTTAGCTGAAGGCCCTAGTAGCCATTGCTAACATAATTCTCTTCTGTTATTATACCCTGTACCCAAAGGGTACAAGGGTATATTAGTTTTGTGCGAGTGTACATGTAACACACAGAAGGAGGCGTGGCAGACCCCACAAAGTATATATATTCTTGATCAGCATGACAAGCCTAGTCGATATAGCCATGTCCGTCTGTCCGTATGTCTGTCCGTATGTCTGTCTGTCTGTATTAACGCAAGGATCTCAGAAAGTATAAGAGCTAGAATAACTAAACTTGGGATCTAGATTCTTCTAAGCCCGGGACGAGTTTGTTTATTTTTCCCGATGCACCTCCCCACTCCCTCCCTATTCGAGATTTTCTATAACTCCCGTAATTCTTAGAATTTTAAGGCGCCAGTAGTCTCAAGGATAAAGAAGCCGTCGGTTTTATCGCGGTCGACGCTCACGAAAATGAATAACAAAGAGGACAAAGAAACCGTTACAAGTGAGCACGCACTGACAATATCATATGACAATATCATATGTTGCCAGAAAGGTCGGAGGGCAACAGAGAAACACAAGAAAAAATGCAAGAAGAAACGAATAGAACCACAACAGCCGAAAACAGCGTTACCATGCAACAGCTAGTGCAACTATTGACCCTGAAATGCAAAACGGAAGACAGCAGCAAAGAAGAAGGCAAATTGGTGGTGGAAAATTTTTCTAAAATTATTCCGGAGTTTGACGGTGAAAATATGCAAGTGGAAAAGTGGTTCACAAATTTTGAATTAAATGCAGACGCGTACGGTTTGAACGAAAAACAGAAGTATTTTCAGGCACGCGCCAAGATGACACGCACAGCAGCATTGTTTTTGGAGTCTACGTTCATATACGAGTACAAATCGTTGCGTGAACAGGTGATCGATGAATTTCAACGAGGCAAAATTTGCAGTTCCGAAATTCACAAACAATTAAGTGCTCGCACAAAGCGCAACGATGAACATTTTCATGAGTATTTGTTGCAAATGAAGAGCATTGCAGCCCGTGGAGTGATGGATACTGAATCGTTAATTCGATATGTTGTGGATGGGCTAAATCTTAAAACTGATTTTAAATACAATTTGTATAGCTGCACATCGTTCAAAGAATTGCGAGAGAAATATGAAGTTTACGAAAGTGTAGCGGAAACAAACGAGAAAGTGTATGCAGAGAGAAAACAGTTTGTACCAAACAAATACAACAACAAAAATGCAAATGTAAGAAGCGAAACGAAGCAGCATTGTTTTAATTGTGGTGCAGTGGATCATTTGCGCAAGGACTGAAAAGCTGAAATCAAGTGCTTTCGTTGCAATAAAACTTGGCATATGTCAACAGAGTGCACACCTTCGGCCGGCGTAAATGTTGTATATGAAGCAAAACGTCTCAGGGAGATAAAAATTAATGATGCAGTGGTCAATGCACTTGTAGACACCGGAGCAGACGTCTCAATAATGAGAAAGGCAGCATTTAGCAAAATCGGCGGCGCCAAATTGCAAAGCAACGTGGCTACACTTCGAGGCTTGGGCACTAACAGGATACGCCCGGTGGGTCAATTTCTAGCAGAGGTGGAGATCGACAATATGAAGGTGTTACACCAGTTCTTGGTAGTGGCTGATGGTGACATTGGATGCGACGCGCTGATTGGGTACGACTTTCTATCAAAGTTTAATGTCACGGTGACAGCGGCTGGATTTAAGTTTTCTCCCCCTGCTGGGGAGGAGACTTAGGAGAATAATCAGATAAGTACTTATCATGTAGTTGAGACAAATACTGATCCTGAAATACTGTAGTGTGCATACATAAGGAGTACACACTGTACGCAGTGCACTCTTAAGAACATACACTGTAACACTTTATTGCAGTGAATAAATTAATTCAAAAAAGCCAAGCATAATTCGGACGCGATGTAATATGATCGCACATGCATTGGGCGACATAAGTGCAGCGTCAGTGCAACTAGTGTCAGCCACCTCAAGTGCACATAACATTCTCCCTCGCGCTCTCGCTGCCAACAGCGCTGAGTACAAATACATAAGTAAAATACATAATGCGGCCGCTCCGCTGCCGGCGTCTCTGGCAGCGCAGCTACGAGGCCTTAGCTAAGTTCATTTTAAGTAAAATGTAAGAAATCAGTATAAGTTCAAGTTTTAAGATTGAGTGTCATAAAAGTTAATAAATAATTAATAAAAACTCATAATAAAAAGTACGTATGTTATTACATGGCGACCGTGACAGTGTCCTACATAGGACCGTGATAGTGGTCCTGGAGGACCAAGGACAGAGGAGCTGATATACCATAAAAACGACCATAATAACGGCAGGAGGACAACTTTAAAATTCGGAAGACGGAGCTTGGCATGGACATCAACACAATAAAAATACTGAGTGAGTAGAGTGCGCGAGTGATGGGTAAACGCGGAGGTGTGCACAATAAAATTAATAAGAGAATAGCACATTTAAAGTGGCTTTTATTCTCAACTGCAACACCACCCGCGTGGACAACGGCCCAAAAATTGCAGGCAGAACTTGACTATTTAAAGTCAATAAGCAAAAATGCGAAACCCGACTCCGCAACTCGCTCCACTCGTATTGAAAATATAAATAAACGTGAAATAATTTTACCGCCTTCACCCAAGCAACTGCCAAGGAACGCAAAAAGCTGCCCAACGGACTGCGAGGGACCATTGCACACCCCACACTGCGAGTACACGTGCCGCCACTGCACGATACGCAATTAGGAGCAGTAAGTGTGAAAGGCATAGGACCGCCTTTTGCACCACCGCTGGAAAAACGCCGACGACAACTGTAAGTGCGGGAGGCAGGCCGCCCCTTGCACCAACGAGGGAGCATCAGCGTGCCACACCGGCGACGCCCAGCTGATGCGGGAATACACCACATCAAATAGCGACAAGTGCGGGAGGCAAACCACCACCAGCGACAACGAGGGAGCATCAGCGTGCCACACCGGCGACGTCCAGCTGATGCGGACGCCACAAGACGACAATCCCAAAAAGGGACACCAGAGGAAAATTTAATGATTAAGCAAAGATAAAAACTTATAATGCAAAATTTGTAATGCATATTTAAGTTAAAATATATATATGTAAGAAAAATTGTAAAAAAAATAGCCAATAAGAAAATTGTAAAATAATTAATAAGGAAAATTGTAAAATTGAGCGGAACCTTTTCTGCCCGATTAGAAGTACAGCCCGTAAAGCTGTACGAACAAATAGGCAGGAAAATTGTCAATCTTTTAATAGTATGAATGAGGAGCAATAGTATAAGTAAGATAGATCAGATAGAAATATATAAGCCATATAAAAGTGGCATAGTTACCGATAAAATAAGTAATATACCCAAAATGGGTTTGATAGACACTAAGGTAGTAGATTCCACTGCAGGAATTGTCAATAAGGTGGAATCACAGAAAGTAGATGTAGAAATGATAAATATCCTGTTGGTAGTAATCGTTGTGTTAATGAGTGCGAATTTGTTTTTTAAGCTGTATAAGCTACACAATAAATGCCAAAAAAAAAGAATTCTGAGTAAGGCAAATGACTTAGATAAAATATAAAAAAATATACAGCGATTACTGCCAGCAGCAAAAAAAAATTATTAATAAATAAATATAAATAAAAAAAGGACATTTTTCACCAATGTAAAATTATAATATCAGGTATGCCCAAGAGTGGAAAGAAATCCACACCTAGGTAGAACCAACCACTATGCACAATGGGTAGATGACCAGGACAATAGATTTAAACAGTAAATAATAATTATGAAATATAGGAATAGAATAGAAGAAACATAAATAAATAAAAATTAATAAATAATAAATAAAACATAAAAATTAAAAGTAAAAAAAAAGAAAGGGTGTTCAACTTAATTACCTAGGAGTCCAATGAAAAAAAAATCTTGCTGAGCATCAAAATTATCCATAATACATGGACTGGAATGCTATATGCGGGAGAGTGCAAGAGCTGAGAGCTGAATTTGATAAATCATACAAAAGCCTCACTCAAAATAGGCCAATACAGATTGGTACATTGAATAAGCACACCATCAAATTGGTGCATTATTATAACGAGATCCGAGAGATATTCCTAGAAAACAAACCTAGGCTCACGGATCTCCATTGGACTCAGGCTTCAGACGTTGTCAAACGTCTAAGAGAACAGCTGCTCGCTGTTAGGGAAAGACATGGCTTGGATATACACTTGCCAAATGTCATAAGTAGCGCGGCGACATATATAGCTGTGGACGAAGATGAAGTAATGTCTATAAGTCCCAGGTCAAAATCGCCAAATACGGCATATGTCAGCATAATTTCGGAAGAAGATTCCAAAAGCGGACTTACTCCCAATAACAGCCCCGCAAGAAGCGAACCGGCTGACAGCCTCAACGCAATAGTAAACAGCCCGCAGTTGCGAAAAATGTCGCAGACACAGATACAATTCTTAAAAACGGCGTCATCTCTGATACCGGAGTTTGATGGCAAAGCCGAAAATTTGAGAAGCTTCTTGGACGCGTTGCAGTTGGTGGACTCAATTAAAGAGACACACGAGTCAACGGCAGTCCAATTAATAAAAACAAAGCTCAAAGGCAACGCACGCAATTTAATTAGCACTGAGAACTCAATTGCTGAAATTGTTTGCAAACTTTCTGCCACTGTAAAAGGTGACTCAGTTGAGGTTATTACAGCCAAACTGATGAACCTTCAACAGAAGAGCAAGACGGCTAATCAGTATACCCAAGAGGTAGAAAAACTGACAAAGTCTCTAGAGAGTGCATACATAAACGATGGACTTTCATTGGAGATAGCCGCTAAATACAGTACGCAACATGCTGTAAAATCAATGATGAAGAATTGTAACATTGACAGGGTAAAGCTGGTAATGGAGGCCGGCCAATTCAACAATATGAATGAGGCTGTCTCCAAGTTTGTCAATAGTTGTACCGATGCAACTGGACGAACAGATACAATTTTGTATTATAAAAACCAGCAAATAGACAGACGCTTCAGTAATAATCATAGAGCCAGAGGTAATAATAACCATCGCGTTGGAAATAGCTATCGTGGTGGAAATAACTATCGCGGTGGAAATAACTATCGCGGTGGAAATAACTATCGCGGTGGAGATAACCATCGTGGTGGTAGAAACTACCAGAATGGCTACCAACGAAATAACAGCAATTATAACCAAGTCCGACTGGTGCAAACCACGTCGGAAAACCAGTAAAAACCCTTGGGATAAAGAAAACTGTGGAACAAACGGTTCACGCAATAAACCTTAATTTCAATCTTTATGTTACACTAAAAAATGAAGCAACACATAAGTTGTACACATTGCTGGTTGATACAGGTGCAGATGTGTCTTTAATAAAGGAAGATACGGACTCGTTTGATAACGTCAATTATAATAATATTACTCAATTGTCCGGTATAGGTGAGGGAACAACCAATTCCAAAGGATCGGCAATGATAGAACTCCTATCAACATGCTATGCCATCCCTCATGACTTTCATATAGTAGATTCAGACTTTCCGCTTCCATGTAATGGAATAATAGGTATAGATTTTATGAAGAAATATAATTGTCAAATAGACTTAAATCAGGAGAGTGATTGGCTCATACTGAGACCTAATAATATTGATCACTCAATAAAAATCCCAATACATCATACACTTCAAAATAGTTACACAATTTTGCCAGCAAGATCCGAAGTCGTCCGAAAAATTTCCATAAATACTACAAGCAAGTATATATTCATACCAAATCAAGAAATTCAAAACGGAGTATACATTGGGAACTCCATTGCAGACTCTAAAAATATTTTTGTCCGAATTTTGAATACCACAGATAAAAATGCAATCATTCAGTTAAACGAAGTAAATTTTGAACCATTGAGTGATTATGAAATAATAGAAACAAATATGAACAGCAGTCACATTGAGGTCTTGGACAAACTAAGTAAAAATTTCCCACCACAGTTCGAACACGCTCTTACGGAGATATGCACCAAGTACATTGACGTATTCGGAATAGAAACCGAATCGATATCAACCAATAATTTCTACAAACAAAAGATAAGAATGAAAGATGATGAACCAGTTTATATTAAGAACTATAGAATTCCACATAGCCAAAAAGAAGAGGTAGACAAGCAAGTCGAGAAGCTAATAAAAGACAAAATAGTAGAACCGTCAGTCTCAGAATATAATAGCCCATTATTGATAGTTCCAAAAAAGTCATTGCCGGGTTCTGATAGTAAAAGATGGCGTTTGGTGATTGACTATCGCCAGATCAATAAAAAAATCTTATCCGACAAGTTTCCGTTGCCCAGAATTGATGATATTCTCGATCAATTGGGTAGAGCTAAGTACTTCTCATGTTTGGATCTGATGTCAGGATTTCATCAGATAGAGCTTGAGGAAAGCTCCAGAAACATAACGTCTTTTTCCACGAGCAATGGCTCTTATCGCTTCACGCGATTACCATATGGTTTAAAAATAGCACCAAATTCATTTCAAAGAATGATGACAATCGCATTTTCGGGTATAGAACCTACTCAGGCATTCTTATATATGGATGACCTGATTGTCATCGGGTGTTCAGAAAAACATATGATTAAGAATCTTACAAGCGTTTTTGATTTGTGTAGAAAACACAACCTTAAATTGCACCCCGAAAAGTGCTCATTCTTCAGGCACGAGGTAACCTTTTTGGGCCATAAGTGTACTGATAAGGGTATTTTGCCAGACAGCAAGAAATATGATGTCATAGAAAGGTACCCAGTCCCAACGGACGCTGATAGCGCTAGAAGATTCGTTGCATTCTGCAATTATTATAGACGTTTTATAAAAAATTTCGCCGATTATTCGCGGCACATAACAAGATTATGTAGAAAGAATGTTAAGTTTGAGTGGACCGGTGAATGTCAAAAAGCATTCGAATATTTAAAAGTCCAGTTGATGAAGCCTACGTTGTTGCAGTACCCAGATTTTAGCAAAGAATTTTGCATAACGACGGATGCGAGTAAACAAGCTTGTGGAGCTGTACTGACCCAAAATCATAATGGGACACAACTGCCAGTAGCGTATGCATCAAGATCGTTTACAAAAGGGGAAAGTAACAAAAATACAACGGAGCAAGAACTGGCAGCCATCCATTGGGCAATAAACCATTTTCGACCATATATTTATGGCAGACACTTCACAGTCAAAACCGATCATAGGCCCTTAACTTACTTGTTTTCAATGACGAACCCGAGCTCAAAACTGACGCGCATGAGACTTGACTTAGAGGAGTATGATTTCACAGTTGAATACCTCAAGGGAAAAGACAACCATATAGCAGATGCGTTGTCGAGAATAACTATAACAGACTTAAAAGATATACATAAAGGAAACAAAATACTAAAAGTCACTACAAGAAATCAAAGTAAACAGAAAAATCTCTGCGCAGAGAAAGACAAAGTAGATTTGCATAAGCAAACTAAAAATAAAGCTTCAAAGCCCAACGTATACGAAGTCATTATAAATGACGAGGTACGAAAAGTAGTGACCTTGCGTACGACAGATTCAACATGTTTACTAAAGCATGGAAAAAAAGTCATAGCAAGAATTGATGTTAGCGATATGTACTCCAATGGAATTCTCGACTTAGGTCAGTTCTTCCAAAGGCTTGAAAGGCAAGCCGGTGTGCTTAATATCAGCCGACTCAAAGTGGCACCGAGCGAAAAGATTTTTGAAACAACTTCAATAGAATCTTTTAAAGAAATGGGCAATAAAATATTGAAATCATTAAGAGTAGCGCTACTCAAGCCGGTGACCCAAATAAATAAAGAAAAAGAAAAAGAAGCAATACTGTTTACATTCCATGACGATCCAATACAAGGAGGCCATACGGGTATAGCAAGAACAATGGCAAAAATAAAAAGGCATTATTACTGGAAAAATATAACAAGAGACATTACAAATTATATAAAAAAATGTCGAAAATGTCAAAAGTCGAAATCGACTAAACATACCAGAGCCCCATTGATAATAACAGATACGCCAATAAAGGCTTTCGATAGGGTAATTGTGGATACGATCGGTCCACTACCTAGGTCAGAAAAAGGAAATGAATACGCAGTAACTTTAATCTGCGATTTAACAAAATACCTTGTAGCCATACCAATAGAGAACAAAAGTGCAAAGACAGTAGCCAAGGCTATATTTGAACATTTTATTCTGAAGTACGGTCCAATGAAGACGTTCATTACGGACATGGGAACAGAGTATAAGAATTCAATAATTGAAGATTTATGTAAAAATCTAAATATTAAAAACATAACATCTACTGCACATCATCACCAGACTGTAGGAACCGTGGAGCGAAGCCACAGAACATTTAATGAGTTCATCAGGTCATACATCTCAGTCGACAAATCAGATTGGGATGTGTGGTTACAGTACTTCGTATATTCTTTTAATACTACACCCTCAATGGCACATGATTACTGTCCATATGAGCTAGTTTTTGGTAGAACCTCAAATTTACCAGAGTATTTCAATAGCATAGATAGAATAGAACCACTTTACAATATAGAAGATTATGCTAAGGAATCTAAGTTTAGGATAGAACAAGCTTTGAAAAGAGCAAGATTAATGCTAGAGTCAAATAAACATAAACAGAAAATTAGTTATGACAAGAATAGTTTAGATCTGAAGTTAAAAATAGGAGACCAGGTTCTATTGAAAAATGAAACAGGTCACAAGCTAGATTTTAAATATACAGGACCATATAAGGTAGAAAAAGTAGAAGAAAATAATAACATAATAATATCAAATAATAAAGACAAAAAACAAACAGTACATAAGGATAGGTTAAAGATTTTTAATTCGTAACTTGAAGTATGGCCATACACAAGCATAAATACATATATATAAATATCAATAAATACAAAAAAAAATATACATCAATTTTCTATGATTCCATCGAAAAAAAATAATAATAGAAAGAAAAAAATATATATATATACATATACATATAAAAAAAAAATAATAAAATAAAATAAAAATAAGATAAAAAAAAAAAAAAATTTATACATACAAATAAGTATATACATACATATATCAATTTTCCCTTTAAAAACATTATTAAACAAACAAAACAAATAGATTAATAAGAAACGAATCATAAAGATATAAACATATTTCATAACTAGATATACATGAAATTAATAGATAAATAATTTAGAAAATAACTTCATAATATTACGTTATTTTTCAAAAGGAGGGAGATGTAGTGTGCATACATAAGGAGTACACACTGTACGCAGTGCACTCTTAAGAACATACACTGTAACACTTTATTGCAGTGAATAAATTAATTCAAAAAAGCCAAGCATAATTCGGACGCGATGTAATATGATCGCACATGCATTGGGCGACATAAGTGCAGCGTCAGTGCAACTAGTGTCAGCCACCTCAAGTGCACATAACATTCTCCCTCGCGCTCTCGCTGCCAACAGCGCTGAGTACAAATACATAAGTAAAATACATAATGCGGCCGCTCCGCTGCCGGCGTCTCTGGCAGCGCAGCTACGAGGCCTTAGCTAAGTTCATTTTAAGTAAAATGTAAGAAATCAGTATAAGTTCAAGTTTTAAGATTGAGTGTCATAAAAGTTAATAAATAATTAATAAAAACTCATAATAAAAAGTACGTATGTTATTACAATACCTCCCATTTCGAACTCAAAATAGTTTTGGAGGATGATAGTGGCGAATCCGAAGACGAGGAGGATCTTAATAAAGAAATGGGCGGAACCGAGGATGGTGCTGAAAAACTGGACGAACAGATTTGGAGTGACAATGAAGAAGAAAAAAATGAGCACGACGAAATGAATGACGAGGATCAAGGCAAGGGCACTAAAGACGAAAAGGATGCTCATAACGATTTGGACACAAAAAACGATGTGGCCAATGAAGATGGAAAGGATGAGCATGAAAAAGATGGGCTAGACGCCACCAACGAGCCAAACTCCGAGGATAAACGTAAGGAGCAAGCTAAGGACATTGATGATATTAGGAGTCCTGAAGTGGACGAAGAGCAAACGAATGTCTTTCACAATGAGCTTGAGGAGCCACCAGAGCCAGAGGAAATGGACCTTGGCGCTATGAATAATGTAGATGAGGGACACGATGACCTTGAGGATCAGGTTGATGAAAATCCGTTTGATATTGATGCAATGAAAGAAAACAACCCGCCTGAAAACTTGGAGGACTTCGAGTATAAAGTGGAGCACAGGAGTGGAGATCGTCTTAGGCACGTCGATTGTTTGACTCGCTACCCACAGCAAGTAATGATGGTCACGTTAGAAGTCTCAGCCCGTATAAAAGCAGCTCAACAAAAAGATTGTATGATCAAAGCTATTTTTGAGATTCTAAGCAGCCGCCCCTATGACAATTTTAAAATCAAAGGAGGATTGCTGTTTAAGTCGATAGAAGGAACTGATCTGCTGGTTATACCGAAGTCGATGGAGCGAGAAAAATTTGTCGACGCTCACAATGTTGGACACTGGGCTGTTCGAAAGGCAACGCACTTGATCAAGCAAAGCTATTGGATACCACATTTGGAAGGAAAAGTTGCTCATGCTATCGCCAATTATATTAAATGTATTGTCCACAACAAACAGTTGGGTAAAAAGGAAGGCTTTCTCCATCCCGCCGAGAAAGGAGGAGAGCCATTGCACACATTGCATGTTGACCATCTCGGACCTATGGACGCCACAACGATGCAATATAAATGCATTTTTGCTATAGTCGATGCATTTACTACGTTCGTGTGGCTGGATCCGATAAAGACAACAAGCTGCGAAGAAGTCCTTAAAAAGCTCGACAGATGGTCGGAAATCTTCGGTAATCCCAGTCGCATCATCAGTGACCGAGGGTCTGCGTTTACATCTTCAGCTTTCGAGGAGTACATGAGCAAAAATGGTATCGAGTATGTTTGGAGCACCACCGGAGTGCCCAGAGGAAACGGAAAAGTAGAGCGCGTTAACCGGTCGATACTACAAATCATATCCAATCTGTCATCAGAGAGTCCTGAAAAATGGTTTAAGTTTGTGGCTAGAGTACAGAAGGTCATAAACAGCACCATTCATGTATCAACGAAGAAGTCGCCATTCGAACTCATGTTTGGCGTAAAGATGAGAACTACGGCCGAAAATGAGGTGTTGCAACTGCTGGAAAAGGAGATATGCGACAACTTTGATGAAGAAAGGCAGAAAATAAGACAAGCAGCGAAGGAGGACATACAGAGAGCACAGGAAAGATACAAAAAGCAGTTCGATAAAAAGCGGAAGAATGCATATGGTTATAAATTGGGTGACCTAGTCGCAATCCGCCAAACACAATTCGTAGGTGGGAGAAAGCTAGCCAGCAGCTATCTGGGACCATATGAAATTACAAAAATAAACGTAACGGGCGATATGAAGTGCACAAGGCTGCAGACGTCGAGGGGCCGAACAGCACGGCACATAATATGCTGCTTTGGTGCTATATCGCAGATAACGAAGACTCGTGGTCATCGGAGGCCGATGACTAGTGCAGGCGGAACACCTAGAAGCAGCATCGCCATCAGTACTCGGTACTCATTTTGGTTTTAAGCAGTCAGTAGATATGTACTTAGTTGTCAGTAGTAAGTTGTCAGCCGCACTACAAACACAGTCGTCAGCCGTAAAGAAAGAAGCAAAAGTCAGCAGTCAAAAAAAGAAGCAGAGAGAAGCCGTCAGAGAAGCTGCATATGCTAATATTCGCCATCATCATTTTACTTTATATTCCTATTTTAAACTATATCATATATCTTGGTATCGTTATAAATAATAAACATTGTATGATACACAAGATCACATATATATATATATATATATATATATATATCATATATATATATATATATATATATATATATATATATATATATATATATATATATGGAATGGAAAATCGGGATAACCTCCATAGGGGGGAAGTGAGGGGGAAAATCAAAAAAATAAAACAAACTCGTATAGAATACACACATAAGGCATCTTTGTGCAAAATTTGGTGTCTCTATCTCTTATAGTCTCTGAGATCTAGGTGATCATACGGACGGACGGACGGACAGACAGACAGACAGGGCTAAATCGACTCGTCTTGTCATGCTGATCAAGAATATATATACTTTGTGGGGTCTGCCACGCCTCCTTCTGCCTGTTACATTTTTCTGCTCGCGCAAACCTAACATATATAACATATAACCTAGTATAAAAAGTCCATTAAGTCAATAAGCGGATTAGAAGGCACTTCGACCACGATGATCGCCGAAACACCCTTTCGCAGCTCCAGCTCTGATTGGTCTTTAGTCAGTTCCAGATGTGAATTTTGAGGCTAAAGGGAACGAATCAGTCAGTTCAGTTGTGGAACAACCACGTGAAGCTAAATCTGCTGAATTTTTTTTATAGGAACGTGACGCCAAACATTGGCAACGAAGGTATTTAAATGAGTGGGTACATTTGCATCCAATGTAATACCACTTCTGAGTCTGACTAGAACATGACTTGCTTCACTGGCATGTGCAGGAGCTGCCTGACTGATCGCTCAGATCATCCAAAGTTGCCGGTAGGCAAAGTGAAGGGGTCCCTCGTCGCGACGATCCAATCAAGATGTATGTATATAAGTACCCTTGTACTTATATGCACGAACGCACTGGCTTATGTTCACCGAAGAGCACCGAAACGAAATCAAAATAAACTGCACAAATCAACTTCCAATTTTCAAGTGCTTTATTGCTAGCCATGCAAGGCTTAGCATACGCATAACATAATGTGGACATTAACTTAACAGCGACCAAGAGACTAACATAAACAGCTGTTATTACAAATTAACATTTATGAGCGCTTACAACTAATTAGTTACAAACGGCTTAAGTCTACAATTCAATGATAATTCAAACAACTTATATCTACAATTCAGATTATTTCAACAAACTTAAATCTATACTTAAGTATAAAGGCATGAAATGCCCATACACTGACTTTTTCCCATAAAGTGGCCAATAATTGGGCTGCATTAGCCTCCAGGCGTGGAACCGATTTGGTTTCAATGGTGCAACTTTGGACTTAGCAGTCAACAAGTGCACTGTTACCTTCTTCACGAATTTGGAGACAGCACCCGTACGCTCTTGTTGAGGCATCAGCAAAACCATGCACTTGTCACTTTGCTGTTTTTGTGCACCAACGTAACGGGGTATGCGCAACGACTCCAAGTCAACAAATGAGTTCGTTGTACACTGTAAGTCCTTCAGAAAATGACTGGGTATTTGGTCGTCCCACGCAAATTTAAGTAGTCATGTTTTGCGTCATCACAAGGATTCCAAACAATGCCTAAATGACTTCAAAATCCTTACAGTTTGATGGCTATTTTGCAAGAACAAACCCAAATGGTTTTAAAACTGCATTAATTTCGCAATGTAACCGCTGAAATTATTCCACAGTATATGCGCCAGATAGCAGATCATCCACATAACAGTCAGAAGCTAATGATTTAGAAGCCAGTGGATGTGACTAAGCATTCAGCGCACTCAAATATTATAGGCATCGAATTGCCAAAAAGATGCAGAAGCGGTACCATAGGTGACCGTATTTAATCGGTATATTTAAAGTGGCTCTGTGGGGCTTTTTCTCCAAGTGATTAACTGAAAACTGCACTGTGATTATTCAACTTGAACCTGCAGGTACATTTTGGTAATGTCAGCCAACAGTGCAAATGGCCGAAGTCGGAACCTCAACAAAGTGGAGTATAAACATGGTTGGATGGTTGGACCAAACATAAGAATGTAAAGAATGTTTAAAGACTTCTGTGACCACGTCTTACTTGACGCGTCGAAAACTACTCGCAGCTTCATTGAGGTCCTTTGTGGTCTTAGCACACAGTGTTATTGAATGAAATAGTGTGGCTCTCTCGGAATTATGCTGTCGGTAGCAGTCATATGACCTAACGAAATATATTCCAACATAAACTTGTTGTACATTACATATATTTGAACGTTAACCACAGAATTTTCTGGCTGGTACGACGAAATAGCTCAATATTCCGAATTTAGAATCGAAATTAAAATTGGCAATGCGTGAAGCTATTGACGTTTGCGCAACATATCTTACAGCAGATTTTGTGTGTGCCTATGTACAGACCTAATCGTTTACAGACCGAGCTGCATCGATGGACATCGGACACAAGTACCAAATGCGAAAGACTAAAATATTAAAGTCAAATGAATATATAAATGGCAGACTGCTTTTGGCTCGCACTGAGGAAAGTTAAAAAAAAGCGAACTGCAAAGCCTTATTTCAATTTTCTAAGTAAATTTATTACAGATCAATGCAATGCATTCAATTCTTTTGCTTGGTCTCATGGGCAAGTGGATCGAGAGAGAGAGAGAGAGAGAGCGATAGAGCAACATACATTGTAAATAGACAGCGCCTAACAATAGTGTAATGACCTGCAAATTGCCCAATAATTACAAACCAACTGCACGCAATTACTAAGATATACCAAACAATGTTTATTATTTCTTCGGTGCGATCCGCACTTGACAAGTGTATATAAACGACTGACTCAATGAGAGCCAGTATGCTCTCCGCTTTCTGCAACGCTCGCAGTGACAGGCTGCCACATCCCTCCAATATTTTTCAGCTTCAGCTTCAAGTTCTGCTGCGCATCTGCAGGCTGCTCCACGGAGATATCGGGAATTGATTCGGCTTGTGGTAGCGGTGGTGGCTGTGTTCCAAGTGAGGCACCATTTTCTTGCTCGCTGCCATCCAACTGTTGTGAAGCTTCGATGCCCAAACTAGAACCCCCTGAGATCTTTTTAACATGACTTATATTTCTCAAATACGTTTTACCTCCTCCCGATATCTTTACTACGCTTCCATCTATCTGAATTACCTCATAGACTGTTGTATCAAAATTAGAAGTTAACTTGTCTCTCTCTTCCGATTCTCCCACTTCCCCTACTATATCCTGAACTCCCGGAATATTGTCTCTAATTGTGCGATTGAATATAAGCTCGGATGGTGGCGAGCCCGTAGTACCATGGGGAGTAACATTGTACATTAATATGAATTTTTGAATCTCATGTCTATAATTTTTATCATTCACATGCGCTATTTTCAACCGCTTTACTAATGATCTATTCATATTTTCTACCTCGCCATTAGCCTGAGGCCAATATGGAGGGGTTGTAATGAG